CCATCCCCGCAGTCCGAGGGGACCCAGTGGTGACCCCCAGCCCCACTGGCTTCTTCCAAGCACCGACGTGGGTCCTCTACTCCCACCCCACCAGCTCCATGTCACGAGTCAACATGGGGGTTCACCTCAGCACCTTCCCCAGGGACGTGGAGAGCTGGACTGAGCCGTGGGTCATCTACGAGGGTCCAAGCGCTTACTCGGACCTGGCTTACATGGAGCTGCCCTACAACGAGGCCTCCATCTCTGGTGGCCCAGACATTGCTTTTGCCTGCCTCTACGAGAACGGGACACGGTCGCCCTACGAGCAGATCTCCTTCAGCATGTTCACACTGCACGATGTGCTGCAGAACATCCCCCTGAGAGCCACCGCTCCCCAGCGGGATGGCGGCCCCCCACGCCGCAGGAAGCAGGGGCGAAGGAGCTGCCTCATCTCCTAGTTGCCCCCCCAGGTCGGCTTCCCCCAGCGCCGGACCCCAGGGCACCAACCCAGAGCCCTGCGCGCCGGGATGCTCATGGACCAGCGTCCTGCCACCAGCCAGCACGGCCACATCACACAGAAGGCATGTGCTACCATTCCAAAAGCGGGTTTTTATCTCATTTTTATTGCTATTTGTTAGTTGTGCAATTAGCTGGGCAGGGAGGCTCGTGCCACCAGCCCGGCCCCCGGCTCCTTTCCAAGCGCAGGAGCTGCTCCGTGAAATCCATAATGGGGGCAACAGCAGCAACGCAGGGGAGAAGGCAGCCGGGGCACCCCATGCCACCCACGTCCGCCGGGTGCCAGGTCAGGGGCACACGGGGCTCCAGCCGTGCCCTGCCTGGTACTACCACCCTGCTCCAGGGTGTTCTGGTTTTTATCGCTCCTTTTTAACGCTCCTGTTTGAGCAAATTCTTCCTTTTTTCAACAGTTACTGCTTCATCTGGCCAATTGCTTTTTTTTGTTTGTGTAAGCTACCGTGGACCTTGTACTTTCCTCTGAAACTTATCAGTTTTGGGGCAAACCTCCTCCCCGCACAGGCAGGTCTCTGTACCTGCACTCAGTCCCTTTATCCCCACGGGGGGACG